CTGGGTCAAGTAAGGTCTAGGGTTCATCAAGGTTCTTCCAAAGAAAGGTAAGGCTCAAAGGGTGTTCAAAAGAATTTCACACGCTCACGGGTAGGCCACAGAAGAGGTATATGTCAAATTTGGATCACACTCTTTAAAGTTTCCTAAGATCATTCCAAGAGCATACCTTTCTAAATCAATTAGACTAACGGGGTCAATTCTGGGTTTATTCATGCATGGTTCAAAGTAAGCTAATCACATAAGGAATCGACACTTAAGTCAACCAAGACTACAAATTTTCGCTAGTGTGCAACAATCATTACAAGATAATCAATTCGATAAATGACTAATCACAACGAGAAGCAAATAGTTCACATATTGTCTATGCAACTTCATTTGGTCTCGTCGTAGCCATGCATTCATGTTCGTTCGATTGATAGGATTATTCAAGTCATCAGTATTGATTAGGACTGAGACTTAAATTTTGCAAAAGAACAACCACTTTCAACACACGACAGGTGGCAAAAATTTTTGAAAAATGAATTTTTTTCGAAAGGGTCAAAATTGTTTTGAAATTTAAAATAATAGGAGGCATAAACTTAAACATCCACAGAAAGCAGATAAAACACAATTTTAAAGGAGAAAAACCCAAATATATATAAAACACGAATCATATATAGCACACAAAAGGTGAGCCTCACCCCACCACAAATAAAGGCAAATTGTCCTCAAATGCAATTAACACAGAATCCAGAAGGCAAGATTAAAAAAGACAAAGAGGGAGGTAAAGAAAAAAATCATGTCTACGCAGTCTCTCCATCTGTCTAGGCATCAGTGCCTGCAGTGTTGTTAGTCTGCTTCAGGTTCTTGTTCTCTTCTCTCTGCTTCTGCTTCTGTAGCGATGTTTGCCTCAACCATGTTATCCAAATCATGCGCTGCTTTGAAGGCATTTATCGCATTGACGAATCCTCGATTCCATGAAGGGAGAACAAGGTCAATGTGAATCCTCCTACTGGAACTTGCTTCCTTGCTCTCTCTCTTGTTAGTTCTTCTGAACTATTGCGCTCTTATGTGTCTAGGTCTGTTCCTTCCTACAACTTTTGGTCTGGCCATGTCTGCAAAGTCTTTGAGATAATTTTAAAACAACCAAAGCAAAGACTTTCATCTGCAGAAAGATTATATACTTCGTTCGGCCTACAGCTGAATACATTCGGCGAGCCATAGACACTCCGCTGAAAGTCATAGTGCATAAAGAGTTAAAGGTGCAGACAAAGCGCGATTAAGGTGTACTTAGGCGAACCGCAGAGTGGTTCGACGAGCTCGTCACAGTTCTCTGAATCACCTATCGTGCCTACTTTTGACCTATCTTTTCAAAATCGGCCCTGCAACCCTCGAAAACACAATTTGAGTGCAAATATCACAAATTTAACGAAGTCCCATGACATACGAATACCACCCATTACACATTAACTCAACTAGATTCATCAGAGAACAAAATTTCACCGTTTAGCCAGGTTATCGAATAACAATCAGCACTTAACCAATTCTATTCACTCAGGAATGTTCAGCAGAACTTAACAATGACAAATAATGTGCAAATGAGTGCAATGCTGACAAAATAATTATGGGAATTAAGAAAATAACCTGTTGTACTGATTGAAATACTACTGAGAAGCTAGGCGGCAATGCAATCCAAATCCGCGAACAAATTAATGAACAAAAATACACCAGAAGTGCAAGAAATATAAAATTAGAGTGCATGTATGGTTTGTGAATAGATAAATAGTGAGGGAAAGTGAATGAAGTTGGAACTTTTTAAACCTTTGGCTTGCAAAAACCGTCCAGTTTTTCTCCCACTCGGCGACATTAGTCAAGTTCGCCTACTCACTCGGTGACATGCCGACTATTTTTGTTTATCCGCCAAACTTTACAGCACCTCTGGTTTACGGGGGTCTAAACGGCGATATCTATCGTGATCGCCGACATTGTCGGTGATTCGCCAATAATTTCCAAAGCTCACCGAGTTTTACCGAATCTAATATTGACAATGTCTAGAGACAGACAGCGAATACAATCGAATTCACTGACTCCTTCGGCATTTCGTCGACTGGATCTATTACTCAGTCAATCTGCACTTTTCGATCACTCTCCACACTTCCATCTGCACAATCAACACACCATTATTTTATCAAAGCAAAAGAAAACAATAAATGGTTTTGGGTTGTCTCCCAAATAGCGCATTAGTTAACGTCATGGCACGACGCACCAACTCCTTCAAGCGTCTTCTAAATATATCAGTTCAACCAAAGAAATCTCCTGACAATCCCCAAAGTATAATTTTGGACGTTGACCGTTCAGTTTAAATGGAGGTCTTTCCTAATCTTCAACTTCTATGGCACCATTGGTGAACACCCGCGTTATTCTAAAATGTCCAGACTATTTGGATTTGAGCTTTCCGGGAAAAAGTCTATGTCGAGAGTTGTATAACAAAACCCAATCTTCTACCTTGAAGTCCCGCTTGAGTAATCGAGCATCATGCCATTTCTTCGTCTTTTCTTTGTAGATGGCTGAATTTTCATACGATCTGAGTTTAAATTCATCCAGTTCGTTCAACTGTTCTACCCTCTCCCTTGAAGTTTTTGACCAGTCCAAATTTAGGGCCTTCAATGCCCACAATGCTTTGTGTTCTAGCTCGACGGGCAAATGATAAGTCTTACCATAAACCAACTGATATGGAGACATACCGATAGTTGTTGTATAAGCAGTCTGGTATACCCATAGTGCATCATCGAGTTTCCTAGACCAGTCAGTCCTGTTGGCGTTTACTGTCTTTGCCAGGATGCTTTTGATCTCCCGATTTGACACCTCAACTTGACCACTTGTTTGGGGATGATATGGGGTTTCTACTTTGTGTTTCACCCCATATTTGCTAAGTGCCATTGAAAACCACCTATTGAAAAAGTGAGACCCCCCATCGCTAATGATTTCCCTAGGAGTGCCAAATCTTGCGAAGATGTAGCGTTTTAAAAAATTGGTCAATACTTCTCCCTTCGTTGTTTGGAAGTGCGATGGCCTCTACCCATTTGGAGACATAATCTACAGCCACCAAGATGTATTTATTTCCAAATGAGCTCACAAATCAGCCCATGAAATCAATCCCCCATACATCGTGCCTTCCAAAATAAGAGTGAGAGGAAACTCGTGCCTTCTAGACACACCGCCTTGTTGCTGACATTGAGAGCATTTCTTTGCAAATTCATGTGCATCCTTGTGTAAGGACGGCTAGTAATAACCACTTTGGAGGATTTTAGCGGCAGTGCGAATACCACTATGGTGACCTCCTATTGGAGATGCATGGCAAGCATGGAGAATGTCTACTGCTTCTTCTTTTGAAACACACTTCCTAATAACATGGTCATCACATTCTCAAAACAAACATGGTTCATCCCAAAAGTACTTTTTAACGTCGAACAAGAATCTCTTTTTTTGGTAAAAGGTCAGCTCATCTGGCATCAATCCACTCATAATGTAATTTGTGAAATCTGCATACAACGATGTAGGTTTGAGAGATATAGCAAATACATGTTCGTCGGGGAATGAGTCATCTATGTCGACCTCACGCCTGACATCCGCCCTTCCTTCCAACCTCGACAAGTGGTCGGCCATTTTATTTTCACAGCCTTTTCGATCTTTAACCTCAAAATCAAACTCTTGTAATAGCAGCACCCACCTTATCACTCTTGGTTTTGCATCTTTCTTCGCCATTAAGTAGCGGAGTGCAGCATGATCAGTGTGTACTATTACCTTGGTGCCTAGCAGGTATTCCCGAAACTTTTCAAATGTATAGACCACTGCGAGAAACTCTTGTTCAGTGACTGTATAATTTCGTTGGGCACTATTCAGAGTGTTGCTTGCGTAATAAATTGGGTGAAATAGTTTGTTGCGCTTTTTCCCCAACACTACTCCCAACGCCATACCACTGGCATCACACATTACTTCGAAAGATTCAGACCAATCAAGACTGACGATAATCGGGGTGGATACTAATTTTTCTTTCAAACACTTTAATGCAGCCATACAAGCGTCATCAAAATAGAACTTCACTTCCTTCTCTAGGAGTTTGCACAGTGGATGTGCAATCTTAAAGAAGTCCTTAATGAACCTTCGGTAGAAACCTGTATGACCCAAGAAGCTGCGAACACCCTTCACTAAAATTGGCGGGGGTAATTTCTCAATGACCTCAATTGTTGCCTTGTCAACCTCCAGTCCCTTTTGTGACACCTTGTGCCCAAGAACGATACCTTCCTTCACCATAAAGTGACATTTTTCCCAATTGAGAACCAGATTCATATCAACGCACCTTTGGAGCACCTGTCCTAAGTGTGTCAAGCATTCCTCAAACGGGTCCCCTACTGAGAAGTTATCCATGAATACCTCCATAGAGTCTTCGACCATATCTGTAAAAATAGACAACATGCAACGCTGGAATATTGCTGGGGCATTACACAACCCAAATGGCGCGGCATCCTTTTGAATGCAAATGTTCCATAAAGGCAAGTAAAAGTGGTTTTTATCTTAGTCTTCTGACGTAATAGATATTTGATTGTAACCGGAATATCCATCTAAAAAGCAATACCACCCCCGTTCTGATAACCGGTCAAGCATCTGGTCCATAAAGGGCATTAGGAAGTGGTCCTTTTCGGTCCATGAGTTAAACTTCCGATAATCCATGCATACTCTCTACCCCATCACTGGTTTTGTCGGCACAAGTTCTCCTTTTGCATTTGGAACTACGGTTATACCTCCTTTTTTCGATATGCATTGCACTGGACTTATCCACTTACTATCTGCAATAGGGTAGATCACTCCCGCATCTAGCCACTTGATGATCTCCTTTTCACCACCTCTTGCATTGGAGGGTTCAATCTCCTCTGATGTTCCAAACTAGGTTTACATTCACTGTCAAGCCGAATCTTGTGAGTACATATGCTAGGAGGAATTCCTACTATATCGACTATTGTCTATCCAATAACTTTTATATGCTTCTGCAATACTTCAATGACCAATTTTACATGCCTTTCAAGCAAATTATTTGCGATAATCACTGGTAAAGTATTATTGTCTCCTAAGAAGGCATACTTTAGATGAGAAGGTAGGGCTTTTAACTCCAGACTCGGTGGTTCTTTCGTTGATGGCTTTGCAGGAGGACATTCTCTATTTTCCAGGTCGATATCCAACTTGATTAGATTCCTTGAATATACTCCTAACCCTGATAAGGCATATACCACTTCCTCATATCCTTGAACTTCGGATTCATCATAGTTGGCAAATACAGATTCAAGGGGTTCATTTTTGTGCATTAAATGGCTCACACTTGCCACTGCCTCATCGATAACATCCTCAGTGGACACCACATGGATATTACTTGGTTGCTTCATAGATTTACAGATATTGAAGGTCACCTCATCATCATTCACATGGAACTTCAATTTCCCGCTTTCGACATCCACCAATGCTCTCCTGGTTGCTAAGAATGGCCTTCCCAAAATAATGGGGATTTCAGCATCGATCTTGCAATCCAGAATCAAAAAATCGGCCGGAAAAAAGAACCGATCTACTTTTACCAGTATGTCATAGAGTATCCCTATGGGGTGCTTGATTGATCGATCAGCCATAAGGAGTCTCATTGTGGTTGCCTTTGGTTCACCCAAACCAAGTTGCTTATATATTGCATAGGGCATCAAGTTAATGCTTGCTCCTAAATCGCACAAAGCTTTAGTGAATTGGAGCATGCCAATTGTGCACGGGATTGTGAATGCCCCAGGATATTCTGTCTTAATGATTGACTCATTTGTCATAATTGCGCTGCAACTATGGGGCACTTCGATCCTTTCATACTCCAAGCTCATTTTCTTTGTAACCAGCTCTTTCATGAATTTCGCGTATCCCTGCATTTCTAACAATGCTTCCACCAGAGGAAGGTTAATTAAAAAGTTCTTGAATATTGACAATTGTTTTTTGAACTTCTCATCTTCATTCTTCGTTTTCAAACGTTGAGGAAATGGTGGAGGTATTTTGGGCAAAAGGTGCGTGACTTTTGGAACTTGACTGTGTTGCTCTACATCCTCTTGTGGTTCTTTGGCAAGGTTTTGTGGACTAGGCAATTCTCGTTCCTCTATACCCTGGCTTCCTTCCTGTGTTCGAGTGTCCTCATCCTCCATCCCATTCCCTTCTGTCGTCTTTCCACTATGGGTAACCACAACCAACCCTCTTTCATTATCTTTCATCAGTGTCCTGGATGTCTATTGAGCTGATAGTAGATTCAATTGACCTTCTAGTGTTTTAATGGCATCATCATGAGAATTCACTTTACTGTTCAGTGATGAAAAGTAATCACTCATTCCTTTTAGCAAATCATCAGAGCCCTCAACTTTATCAAGTATGCGTGACAACAAATGATTTTCCCGAGGACTACCTGCGCTCCCTTTTGATTTTGGGCTTTCACTCAATTAAGTACAATTTTCCTCATGGTCATCTTGCTTATCCCAATCGTGGCAATATCTCCTTTTTTCTTCACTCCTATAATGGTTCCAACCTTGATTTCCGCCCCGCTATTGATAGCATGGGTGGAAACCCTCTTCATATCTTGTGGAATTCCAACCTTGATTCTCCCCAAGTCTTAAGTAACCAGAAGGAGAATCCTCCTCAACTCGAAACACTCCATACTTCCTCTTCATGTGCTCGTGTATCACTTCCATTTGAGACAACATCTTTTTGATATTTTCGTGCCTCTCCTTTTCTTTATCAAGTCTTGTGTTAATCTAAAGCCCAGTGGGGAAATGTGGTCATCTTTTGTGTACCATGCTTGATTTACTCTAGTCATGCCATCTAGGAGGAATGAGGCTACTTCAAAGAATTGTAACATTATTCCTCATTGCACCAACTGATTAGCTATCCCTTTATTCACCGAATCCAGACTACGGTAAAAATATTGGAGCAATAACTCACTCGGCAGTCCATGCGTTCGACATCTTCGCAAAAATCTCTTAAATCGTGTCCATGATTCGTGAATTGGTTCACCCTTCTTTTGATTAAAATTTTTATGTCGTCTCTCAGTTTCATCATCTTTGATGGAGGGACGAATCTTTCATGAAAAGTCGTAACCAACTTCTCCAATGACTTGATGGAATTCTTTGGAAGCTCGGCCAACCACTTAGTGGCTTCCTTGGTTAATGATAATGGAAATAAGCGCAGCCTTATGCATTCTTATGACAGATTTTGGAATGACAATGGAGTGCACACTTCTACAAAGGTTCGTATATGCTCATACGAATCTTCGTGCTCCCACCCTCCGTATAAACCTCTTGAATGTATGAGATGGAGCATTGTGCTAGTAACTTCAAATTTTGCACTTCCGTCTGCTTGTGGCATACATATTGCACCCATCTCATCCACTTGGCTGAGGTTGTATACATTATTAACATCATCACTACCGTCTCAATGAAAAGCAAACCCGCTAGATAGCCTGCTTGGCAGCTATTTTCACCGTTCACACTCATATAGTTGTTGAAACACACAAATACTCAAAACAAAACTGAAAATTTGATAAGTAGAATACCACAAATAAGAATGAAAATTCTACTTAACTAAGAATTCTCAAATAACACCACTCCCCGGCAGCGTCGCCATTTTGATAATTGCGTAATCAACGACACAACTTCCGATGCAAGTGTCTACGATTGTGCAATAGTATAATAACCCAACCAAGGGTTGGGGTTGAGTCTCAATGGAGTGGTTTCGAGAATTAATAGAAAAATAAAGTTAGTTCTAACTAGTCGTAGCTAAATACATTAACGACTAAAAACATTGTAAATTAAAGTGGGGTGACACAAAAGTGTCAAATATCAAATGGGGGTTTGTCACAAGTATAACTAAAACAGTAAAAATGACAGAGAAATCTATGAATGAGAGGGGATTATTGTGGTGTGATCACAATATATATTGATTTAAATCATTAGGTACATGCTTTCGATAGGAAATTTGCAAGATAATAGTGACTAGGCTAAGCTTTAGATGAAAATAAGTTCCCTCTCGAGCACCTTACCCCGTTTTAAATATGTTCCTCTCGGACACCCATTTGCTGCTATGCTTTAGATGGAAATAAGTTCCCTCTCGGGCAATTTACTCTGTTTCAAATGGGTTCCTCTCGGACACCCATTTGCCGCATGAAGGCTAGCCTATGCCTTACCCCACTCACTCTCTCGACATGAGTGTTAGGATATGGGACTAGGGCTCACCCTCTAGGGTTGAACCGCATGTCGACCCACTCCTTAGGCCATCAGTCTAGCGGTCTTGGTTTCACGACCTCTCTATCGAGCAAGCCAAAAACACATGGGTGGTTTTGTATTTGCAACTACAAACCCATTCAATTAAACCACAACCACTAGGTCAAATCACCATTAAAATACATCTAACCTATCAGCAAGCAAAATTCAACAATAATCTCAACACATATGTGCTAAATTACACCCCAAGAATGGGGTTTTTATCCACACATCAAGAGATAGAAATTTATACCTAAATGAGCTTGCATTCAAATGGGTATAAAGAATTGTCTTGTTACATGCCAAGAATGAAGAATCCGAGAGACCCAAGTCCAAATCCTTGGAGATGAAACCCTCTTCTTCTTCAAGTTTCAAAACCCTCTCAAACTCACAGAAAAAGCACTAAAATTATATTAATTGTTTCACACTAAAAATTATGATACTAAAAATCTGATACTAAGCTATAACTCTCAACGAGTATTTATAGTTTTCAAAAATCTTTACTGCGACAGATTATTCGGCGACATTAGTCGGAATCGCCGATCAACTCGGTGATTCTCCCTTTGGTTTAGTTCTTCGCCGTCTTGCACCATCCTTCGGTATCGTCGTGCTCTGGGTCATTGGGCGATATAGTACTGCTTTGCAGAATTGCTCGACGACGCGCCGACTGCTCCCTTGTTCCGCCGACTTGATCATTTGCTTTAGGCTCAGCACACTGGAACAAAAGGCGGAGTAAGACCCTTCGGTAATTATCCAAGTGGACTCGGCGATCCTCAGGACTTCATTTTCTCGTTCTTTTCAGCATTTTCATTCCTTTTTGCGAAGTAGTGTCCATGCTTTCCTTCTATCTTCGAAGACCTGAAACTTAAGGGTTTTCATCAGATATTGAGATAAAACAAGCATTTGAGGACACAATTTCTATTAAAATATAGCTCTAAATGAGTCCAATTTGTGGACTCATCAATAGCCCTAACATATCTTTTCTACTGAATTCACGTGGCCTAATGACTTTTACTCACAACCCCCCTCGATACTACGATAGGGCAGGACCATAATCAGCACACAATAATAGAAGATACCACGATAATCTGATAAAACATATGTATTTCCGTCGCAAATTTCTAATTGCGGCTTATCAAAGATAGAGTCGATGAAAGAAGGGTGTTACCTTGATCTTAAGTTTGTAATATAGCTCAAAGCCTTCAAATATGTCCAAACCCTTGTTGTCCCAAAACTAAAGAATGATATGCTACAAAATCGATAAAACAAATTATACCACGAGGATGAGCCCAACATGTAGAACAACTTTCGTCAACGACTTAAGTCAAGAAAATCTATAATTTCGTTGATCGTAGAAATGGGTTTCTGTATTTTTCTGGTTCTTAGCTAAACATGAAGAAAGAATCGAAGAAGAAGATATATATAAAGTTCCACCGACCTAGGGCCCCACCTCACGTTGCGCAATTGCGTGAAAATGCAAATATCTCTCTATTATGAAGTCGTATTAAAAACGGTTTGATGCATTGTAAACTAGACTCGTAGACCTTTGATATTCTAGGTTTTAGGCCCCATAACACTTTATAGATTGGGAGAAAACCTATGAGACATTTGACCCAAATTTTAGAGAAATCTTTAAAAAGGAACTTACGAAAACTTTCGTCAACTTTTATTTTGCCACTTACCTAACTTTAAAACTTGAGATACAACCCTTGAACAATTAAAATATGACATAACACATCATTCTTTATTTATTACACACCCTCCTTGTCTTTCCATGAAGATACGAGTAATTTTAGACGTTTCGAAAAGTCGGAGTGTTACATAACCCAATTGGGAGCATTAAGATGATTGGAAAAAATCAAAGCTTCAAGCCTTGACGTAAATAGAGGGTTCGTTTGGAATTATGTGATACTGGTATAGTATGAAGTATTGTTATTCCAACACTAAATAATATTTTGACATAGCAGTGTGAGTTGATGGGGTAACTCGCTCATCATTGGTTGGCTTAACAAAGAAGCTCTCTCGCATAATCACAAATCAATATCGCTAGGTATGTCAAGCTGTTATTAGTCGGGACCATCACCTTTTTATTTTCAATTGATTTGTTTAATGAGTTATTTTATAAAATTTGTACCAATATCGATTTTTGGTTATTTTATTTTGTATTGGCACCAATGTTGATTCTTGGATCCGTATCCCCGAATCTTAAAATTTACATCAGGAAGGATTCGACTTCTAGATCTTCATCCTTATCGAACACTTGCAACCCAATACGAGTAACTTGGCTACTATTTGGTTTTGCTGATTTTCCTTGTTTCTCACATCTAAACTGTTTCTACTAGTCATCATGTGAAATATCACTTAGGTTCTTTGTTAACTGTTATGTACTTTTGATATTTCAGGAGGTGGAAAGCTGATGTTGAAGACCAATTATTACATCCTCTGTCGACTGCACGAATCAAGACGATGCTTCCCTATTCTTCATATTTGCTTAATTTAGTATTACCTATGTTGTCGCTGTGATTCAAGTTGAAAAAAGCTTCTATTCCCTTGAATATATGCTATATGTAATATCTTGATATTGTTGTAACAAAGGGTTGAACAAGTTTCTCCTTCCTTTGAATATCCATACAGTTTGGTTAATTTTTTGATATGTTTTTTAAAAAAAGTATATAAGAGTCATCACTTGTAGGATTTAGAATGCAGTAATATGACAAGTCATATTGGACTTTGGTGAAATTCTGTAATGAGAGTCGTCAAAAAAAAATTGGGTCGAAAAAATTTTTCATAGTAACTCAGGAATTCCTAGCCTAGTCCAGATTTGGATGAAATTGGAGTCATGAGAGGTCTAGGAAATCTGGAAATGAATAAGAGATCTAATTATAATTTTAATCACATGAGTAGATATCTAAGACGAAAAGGAACCCATATAACTTTACAGAATTGAATTCGAGCGAGTAGAA